GAACTGAAGAGTGAGTTGGCTTGGATTCCTGGCCATGTGGGAATTGTTGGGAACGAGAGGGCGGATGGTCTGACGGCGGGGTACACTGGTCCATGGTATCAGATACGCAAAGACGTTAGTGATATTGTCTACGAATTGAAGAGGGATGTATTGGATTTATGGCAGCGGGATTGGGATGATAGTAGCAGATTCAAGGGCAGAGCCTTATGGTTGATTAAGAGGGATGTCAGAGAAGGGGCATGGTATAAGCTATTGCCTTCAGAATCTAAACACATGACATCTACAATTAATCGCATGAGAGTGGGACATGGCATGTTTCCTGCACATCTGTATAGGATTGGCATGGCGGATTCTCCAAACTGCAGTTCCGGAGAATTTTCTGATCTTAACCACATGATTTTGGCCTGTGAAACGTATGAGTTGGATAGAAGTAGAATGTTTGTTAAGTTGAGAAGGGAGGGTGTTTTCCCTCCATATAATGTTAGTTTACTTTTGGCGACCAATAACGCTAGAGTTTTGAGAATGCTTTTTTATTTTTTGTGCAAGATAAGAATTTTTGTTTGATTTTATTTTTTAATGCATGTATGACTGTTCAGTAGATGTTCATCCTTTCGAGGGGTTGACCCGGGGATGTACATCTGACGCCGTTCGGTGGGCTATAGGCATGTAGGTGCTTAAGGAAGTACAAGTAGTTGAGTGGGTTAAGGTAGTAAGGAAGGATCATTTCCCCCTTCCGGTAGTTCTTTTTATTTGAGTTGTTTTTGATCTTTGGAACTTTATATCCCCACAGGGCTACCTAGTGTTATTAACAATAATGTCATTTTTTCAAATAGTATTAACATGGATCTTACACTTTCAAAAAGAAAGGCATAACTCCAAGAAATTAAATTTTTTAAGATAAAATGTTAAAAAATAAGTAAAACCTTGTATTATATTAGATTCCCATATCTTTACTATATTTATGCTTTACTAATCTGTTGTAGAAAACCACATTAAGTAATGCAAAATTGTTAGTTATAAAAAAAAATTGTAACCGACGTTTCTCAAAACTTTGTTATTTGATTTATGGCGCTCTTGTCGCAAATGAGCGATATCTTTTTTTGCATATTTTGATAGACAGTATTTCCTTCTATCTGATGAACATATCATATCATAAAGCTAAGTTTTCACATGCATGGATTACTGGCGCCAGTTCATTTGCATGTGGAAATAGCAAAAACCCACTGGCGCCAATAAATTGGTGCGAGTAATCATAGCGCCAATAACATTGACGCTACTTCTACTTTTTGGCGCCAGTAACAGTATTTATAAAGAAAGCGTAAGATGTCCAAAAAATGAACATCAGAACAAACAGTACTATTCTCGAAGTCTAGAAACGTATGAACAATATCCTTGTATGTAGAATCAGAAAATTCTACAATATGAGGACCGACTAGCACGAAATGAAGCTACCAGAAGGATAGTTGAAATTATGAAAAAAATAGTTCCTAATTTTGAATGCTTCCTGATCTTCATGGCATAATTCTCTTATTAAAGTACTAGACGCACCTAGGTTATTTCTACGTGCAATCCACGATCTAACCTAGCAACTATGTTTTCACTTTTTTTTTTGGTAATAACGTGTGCAGTTTCAAGGAACACATTTGAACTACCACATTGATGCCAGCGCGAAGTATATCACTTGATGCCACTTTTATTACTGTGCCAGTACACAATTATAACATTTATGTGCAACTTCTGGCGCCACTAAACTGGCTTCGTACTGGCGCCAGTAATCCGTGCATGTGGAAACTTATAGTTAGTTTAGACATGCATGGATTTAGTGGCGCCAATAAAAACTGGCGCGGCAGTAAAATTGAATTGTATGTGTAAACATCATCTGTCATGCAAGTTGAAATGATGCATGCATGGATCGGAAAAGTCTGCACCCTTCTGAAATCACTGGCGCCAGTGATGAGTCTAAAAACATGTAACTATGATAACATAGATGAATATCCACAAAAACACATAATTTTTTAATGTCAAATTTAGGTTATATTTCATTGCATTCAAATTAAATCCCAATTACGTTAACACATTCAACGATAACGTTTGGTTATCCACATTAAACCTAGAATATATCTATTTTCGTTTCGGTTGAGGTCCTAATTTGTGTATACAGTTGTAGTTTATACAGGGTGTTCATTTCAAAACTTTCCACCTCAATTTCTGTAAATCCGGAAGTTTAAAAAGAAAATCGCTGAAATAGGTAAAGAATAAAACCAAGGGGGACAACTTTTTATGCAAAAATTGACTCACTCACTTCAACCCCCCGCCGCCAGAAACCAACCCCTTAAAAATCTTAAATGGAAAGGGGTGTCAAGTGATACCTCATTTTAAAGGTCTTTTAAGGTACTACATGTTAGTATTTATTTTTTTTAAATTGATCGATTCGTTTTCGAAATTTTTGCGAAAATCTTTGTTTTGTATTTCCCGCTTTAATTAATATTAAAAACTTTAATCACCTTCTTAAAAGCAAGAATAAGTAATCTTTTATTATTAATTTATAAAATTAAATTACCATGTTCGTTTTTACAACGACCATTAAACCTTTATTATTTCGGAGCAATCCGAAATCTTTGATATTTAGGTTATTTTGACAATGATATACCTACGTTGGCTAGCTTGCCTGGCGTCTGTCAGAGATATTTAGAAAAAACGATTTCTGTTTCATTTTTCTTTTCTTTTAGGTTTATTTGGTTATTACTTAAACAACTTTTAACTGCTTGAAACGTTCTATTTTATTTTCAGTTATTTAATTATGTACAAAAACTTTTTGCAGAGAAAATCAACTTAATAATTGTTCAAAGTGTTGTCCGTTATTAGCTAAACAATGGTACAACCGTTGTTCAAAACTACGGCGCACATTTTCAAAAACTTCCCTTTGAATTCCACGGCAAGCTGCAGTAATTCTCTGACGAAGTTCTTCTAAATTTTGAGGTTGAGGGGTAAATACAACAGACTTTAAATGACCCCATAAAAAAAAGTCTAATGGCGTCAAATCTGGTGATCTGGCTGGCCATTCTATAGGACCTCTTCGTCCTATCCATCTGTTTGGAAACGTATTATCTAACCACTGTCGTACTGGGAGAACATAGTGAGGAGGAGCTCCGTCTTGTTGAAAATGTAATTCATTCTCATCAAGTAAGGCATTTTCTTCTCTATCCAACTGATTCTCGAGAGCTTCCGTAATTAGTGGATTGATAGTATTTTCTAACATATCCAAGTACACTTCGCCGTTTAAATTTCCATCGATAAACACTGGACCAATCACTTGGTCTCCCAAAATGCCGGCCCATACATTAACTTTTTCAGGATATTGTGTATGCCCTTCTACAGTCAGATGAGGGTTTTCATTACTCCAATATCTGCAGTTATGTTTATTTACAAATCCATTTAAAGAAAAAGTGCATTCATCACTAAAGCAGATATTTTTCACAAAAACGTTGTTATTATTAATAATAGTGGTCACTTCTTCACAAAACTGTATTCTCCTGTCAAAATCGTCTTCAGTTAGCTCTTGATGTATTTTCAATTTATAAGGATGGAATTTGTGAAGTTTTACAACTTTATGAACAGAACCCAAGGATATACCAGTTGCACGAGATACCTGACGCAATGAAGTATTGGGGTTGATACCGAAATGACCCAACACTTCCAGTTGAGCGGTTTCATTCAAAACTCTCGACTCATTATGTTTTATGTTGGCAACGGACCCAGTCTGAGTGAATTTCTTCATGAGATTCAGGACGTATGTATGAGATACGTTCTTATCTGGATGCCTTTCATTAAAAACTGCGGCAGTTCGTCGAGCACATTCATTTTGGGATCCATACATTAATACAATTTCAATCCTTTCCTGCAAACTGTAAACCATTATTGCTGTTTTATTTAAATAACTTTGTTAAGTGGATAACACAAAGTTGTTTAAGTAATAACCAAATAAACTTATGTTTAGAATTGCACTTTTATTTTATTCTTTTCTCGCACTGTGAGCCTGCCTATAACTCGTTTATAGAAAGAGAAAAATTTCGTCTCTTTTTTTCCTTTTTTTGGCCATTCGAGTCAAGAGTAATTTTCATACAGGTTTAATGTAAAATACTTTCAATAAAATTTAGTTTAATTCATAATTATACGTGTTTAGTTTTCTTAAATATTTCCGATTGCTCCGAAATAATAAAGGTTTAATGGTCGTTGTAAAAACGAACATGGTAATTTAATTTTATAAATTAATAATAAAAGATTACTTATTCTTGCTTTTAAGAAGGTGATTAAAGTTTTTAATATTAATTAAAGCGGGAAATACAAAACAAAGATTTTCGCAAAAATTTCGAAAACGAATCGATCAATTTAAAAAAAATAAATACTAACATGTAGTACCTTAAAAGACCTTTAAAATGAGGTATCACTTGACACCCCTTTCCATTTAAGATTTTTAAAGGGTTGGTTTCTGGCGGCGGGGGGTTGAAGTGAGTGAGTCAATTTTTGCATAAACAGTTGTCCCCCTTGGTTTTATTCTTTACCTATTTCAGCGATTTTCTTTTTAAACTTCCGGATTTACAGAAATTGAGGTGGAAAGTTTTGAAATGAACACTCTGTATAGTTTATTATGGCTAAAAAAGGTGGTCGGAAGAACTGGCGTGTCACTTATTTTTGTTTTCGCACATGTAGTGTAAACCTTTACTGGTGTGCAAATTGAACTGGCGCAACTAAATCCATGCATGTCTAAAACCCACCTTTTTAGCTTAAGGTTGTATAAGAAAAAAACGAGAATAATTGCATTTTCTGAAAATACTAAATCAGTAAATTAGAAAGTGGGCAACTTGATAGGCCCGGGGGTGCAGCCCATACCTAAAAAGGCTGAAGTTCTAGTGCGTCTTGAAAGATGCACGACAAAACCCGAAACTTTGTCTACATTTCAGACTACAAATAAGAATAAGCTTAAAGAAAATGTAAAACAATTTTGCGATTAACTCAATAATTTATTTTACAAGTTTCTTTGCTTGAACATTTTTTGATGTTAAATTTACAGAAAAATCCTTTGCTTCCACATCATTATACTCTAAAATACACCCAAATAATTTTTGTGTATTCACCAAACATCCCGTAAGAATTCTACAATATTTCACTGCATTATCATCTTTGTAAGTAACCAACAAACGTTTACTTAAATACTCTTCGCATAAAGATACAAATCCAATTTCAATGTATCGTTCCAAATTAGCTGAATACATTTGTACTGAAAGTCTTAAAGTTTCATAATCTTCTAATTTTCCAGCAGGAACATACGTCATAGTGTAATGAAAACCCAAAGGATCGTAAAACTTTTTTATAATATCTACAATTTCATCATAACTATTTTTGTAGGCTTCCTCGTTATTTGTTGTTGCAACGAAAAATCTCGTTGTTGTGTATTGATTTAAATGAAACAATCCAGGTTCTTTTGATTCAAAATCAGGGGAAACTGGTTCGTAAATTTTACCATTTGTAAATAGCTTTATTGGCAAATAACTTGTTTGAATAGAAAATCTTGTAAAGTATGCCATAAAAGCTTCAAGTGATGCTCCCCCGGTTAAATGAAGACGATTTACCGAAAACTTTGATTCATCTTCGTGAATTGTAAAAATTTTATTTGCATCCGAAAAATCTGAACAGCAACCTTCAACAATTGCACTTCGTACAAAACTTGGGGATACAACGGGTATAAAATTATTATTAGTGAATATTTCTTCTGTATAATTTGATAATGCAAATTCAAAATCGGCTCCTTCATTTTCTAAGAAAAAGAAAGAAGGGTTTATGTAACGAAGCATCTTTTTTTCTTCACCAATATTTAAATGACTTTTCGATTTTATTGTTGGCCGCTGATGGAGGGAGTGAATTAGAGTTTCTTTTTCAATTGGGGTTCGTTTATCTAAAACATTAGGGATGGATAAAGCATTAAGAGCGGCCGTTTCTTCAACGGGATACAGATAATTTTTTAATGTGTTATAATTTCCTTTTAATAGACGTGCTTGATCTTTTAAATGATTAATTTCTGATTCTTTTTCTTTATTGTTTAATAATTGAGCGATATCGCGACTTAACGCTTGCTTTGTGACGTCCATAATCGCTAAATCTTCAATCAAAGTCCTATAAAAGGACCAATTTTTTATTATTTTATCTAAATCTATAGCTTTTTTACGCGCTTTTAAATTAAATTTTAATTCGTTTATGTCTTTTATACGATCTTCAAAATCAATGTGAGGCGTTAATAAAGAATAAGTGTTTCCGGCTTTATCCCCGGTAACATACAAAGCCGATTTAAATCTTAATTGTATATTATTTAAATTAACAATACGTTTAAATATCTTCCTCAACATTTTCTTCACTTATTTCTTTATTTTCTTGAGTTTCTATTTTACGTTTTTTTGGTTGAATGAAATTTCCGTGACCTGCTGCTCTTTCTGAATCCTCGATTGTATATGGTTCTAATTCTAGCGCCTTTAACCTTCTTTTATGGACTTTTGTGCGAAAATGTTCGTGTAAAGCTTCGTTATTGATGAAATAACGAGCACAGTGGAGGCAGTAGAATTGAGCGTTTCCAGGTTTATCGTAATCTACTTCTTGGTTGAGAAGTTTTCCGACGTTTTGTGGTTGGAGGTCTTCATCGATCTGGAATGAAAAGAAATTATATTTCAGAGCTATTAGAATAGAAATGTTTGGGGTACCTCATCTAAGTCTTTCGTTCGACGTTTTGTTCTCCACTTTTTTTTCAAATGTGTGTCACCATAGTGATATTTTTTACGTTTATAAACCATTTCTTATTGAGAAAGACACTTAACTGTTTAATGCAAATTTGATGATTCTCGTAAATGCTAAAACGATGGATATTTCTTTAAATATTCGATGTTGTGCACGTGGATATTTCTGGAATCACTTTTGAGGTTATGTTTTGCTTACTGTCAATTAGCTATAGGAAAAAAGGGTTGGTATCTATAGTGTCAAAATAAAACATTTGTGGAAACTATTTTTACAATATCTTTTATTAACATAAATAATTATAGATTATAAAGTTATTGTACTTCTCTAGTCACTTTATAAAAGTATCAACCGTGATATAAAAGTGATATTGATTTAAAAAAGTGGATTGGTATCCCTGCTGTGTTAGTTTTAAATTCAAATTTAAAATTTTCTTTTTAAATTAAAAAAGAGAATTAAAATTATCGCACCACCTAAATTATGCATTTAGTTTAAAGGTATTTTTTTTTTGAATCAACGGATGGATTTTGATGATTCTTTCTTCTCGGTATAGGTTGATTTTTAAGGAAGAAATGTGTTGATGGTTTCTGACAATTGCCAACGTTTTACCCATATACGGGGTGTAAAAAGAAATTTATGTTTTTTCTTCTAATTTTGCAACACCCTGTGGAATTTATCAGAAAGAACTGCTATATTCCATTTACATTACGTTAGAATGGCAACCCTTCTCCACATTTTCGTTCAAGAATCATCTCGATATCTCTTTTATCAAGGAAGATACACATTTTTTAAGTTTGACTTAATTTTGTTGAAATATAGTCCTTACTAATGAAACAAGCAGGCTATGAAATATCAAACAGTTTGACAGAAATGCTTGTCAATTTTATTTACGCATTTAGCAAGTTGCTGCTTTGGGTTATTAAGTGTTTATTTGACATGGACCGTATTTCAAGACATTTAAACCGCGATGAGTGTGTTGAGGCAGTTACTTTAGCCAATGAAGGAATAAGTTATCGTGAAATAGGCTTGAGATTAGGAGTTTCTCATACAACAATATCACGTGCCGTTCAACGATTTCAAGAGACAAATGATCATACAAGACGACCTAGACAAGGAAGAAGGAGAGTCACAACACTACGCCAAGATTGTTTTATTAGACTTCGTGCTGTAAGGGAACGTTTTAATTCGAATTAGTACTATCACCGTACAAAGGCGTCTCGCCGAAGGTGATTTCCATGCAAGGATTCCTGCCAGAGCACCAAATTTAAACGCAAATCATCGTAGAAGGACATTGCAATTTGCCAGAGAACATCTTGACTGGAATGCTGATGACTGGCAACAAGTACTGTTCACAGATGAATCAAGGTTTTGTTTATACAGCTCAGATAGACGTTTAAGAGTAAGTTGATGGCCCAATGAACGCTATGCACAGTGCAACATACGACCGACAACTTTATTTAATGGAGGATCTGTAATGGTTTGGGGTGGAATTTCGCTTACAGCACGAACAGACCTTGTTTCTTTGCGAAGAGGTTCCTTAACAGGTGAAAGGTATATTACAGACATTTTATCGGAACACGTGGTACCCTTTGCTCCTTACATAGGAAATATTTTTTTATTAATGCACGATAATTCAAGACCTCATGTTGCTTATACGGTCCGTGACTATTTGAATGAAGTTGGTATATACAAACCATGGACTGGCCACCCTGTAGCCCTGATCTCAATCCAATAGAGAATTTATGGGATAATATTGATCGTCAGTTAAGGGGCCGACATCCACCACCTATCGTTTTGGACGACGTTGAGAGGATGGTAAGAGAGGTTTGGGATGCAATTGATCAAGATCAAATTCGACGCTTGATTTTAAGTATGCCTCGTCGCTGTGAAGAAGTGATACGTAAGAGAGGCGGAAATACACGTTATTAGGTGATTTTGAGAGAATTGATTAAGGATTATGTAGTGTTTTTTAGTTTTCACCTACTTGTTTAAAATGTTAATAAAAATTCGTTACATTTAAACTTGTGTATCTTCCTTGATAAAAGAGATATCGAGATGATTCTTGAACGAAAATGTAGAGAAGGGTTGCCATTCTAACGTAATGTAAATGGAATGTAGCGGTTCTTTCTGATAAATTCCACAGGGTGTTGCAAAATTAGAAGAAAAAACAAATTTCTTTTTACACCCCGTATTTGGGTAAAACATTGACAATTGTCAGAAATCATCAACACATTTCTTGCTTAAAAATCAACCTATATCGTGAAGAAAGAATCATCAAAATCCATCCGTTGATCAAAAAAAAAAATCCTTTAAACTTAATGCATAATTTAGGTGGTGCGATAATTTTGGAGAGTAGTGTATTAACTCATTTTCATCATTAGCTCAGTTATGCGCGGATTTTTCCTGACCATTATCACCAAAGCGCAGATATACGCGCTAGCTCAACATACAGTATGTCCACGGAAAAGGTGTTGAATAGGAAAAACTTTTTAATTTTTAATTTTATCGAAAAAAGTTGTCTTGATAAAAAATTTTGCTAGTTCTTAGAGTAAGATTGGAATAGAAACATTTAACATATTTTACACGCGGTGTTCAGAGAATTGGGAAAACTTTAAATGGTACAAGAGTAAAGTGCATTTATTTGAGAAGATATGGAAATAAGTTATTAGGAAAAGTTGTTCAAAAGTCTCTAATACCAATTTTCGAAAAAATCGCCCAACTTTTATTTATTTGTAATCATTTTTGTACTAGCAGGCGTTGATAGTGACAAGCTTTATTGACACTTCGCTTGTATACTTTATTAGCCATTGTCAACTTAAAATGCTTACTTTACAGCAAAAAATTTACTTGGTGCAATGTTATGGGAAAGGCGAAAAATGTTATCGTCGAGTTATTCAGGAATTTAATGAAAAATTCCCCAATGTGTACATTTCTGAGACTACTTGCCGTAAAGTAATTTTGAAGTTTTTAAGCACTGGGTCATTGTTGCGAATACCTAGAGAAAAGAAGAGATACGATGAAAATGATGCAAGCACTTTGTTTGTATTACATTCAGTAGAGGAACACCCGATATTATCATTAAGAAGAAGAGCTGAAAATCTCCAAATTGTTAAAAAGTCGCAAATTCAGAAGATATTAAAACACAACAAGATACATCCATACAAGCCAGTTTTTAATCATGTTTTGGAAGTCGGCGATGAAGCAAAACGTTTGGATTTTTGTTTGTGGGTTGGCGGTATGGAAAGAGGATTTCATAAGAAAATAATGTTTTCTGATGAATCAACTTTTTCAACCAGTGGTGTTGTGGTTTCGCAACATGCACGATATTGGAGTGACTCTAATCTGCATTTTCGAATACCACGGTGGCGTCAGTACTGTATTAAAGTAAATGTGTGGTGCGCTATTTCTTGTTCCGGAATAAGAGGGCCATACTTCTTTGACAATACTTGTAATGCGAATAGTTATTTAGCTATGTTAAGAAATTTCTTCGACGGTGAATTAGACAATCTTCCATTAGAATACAGTCGTTCATTTTATTTTCAACAAGATGGGTGCCCAGCACATTATGCGGCAACAGTTAGACAATGGTTAGACCCTACGTTTCCAGACCACTGGATTGGGAGACAAGGTCCAGTTCAGTGGCCTCCTAGGAGTCCAGATTTAACATTAATTTTCCTATGGGGCCGATTGAAACAAATTGTTTATCGCACACCTCAAATAAATGCCACTACTGATCAATTAAAAGATGCGATTAGAGATGCCGTTGCTTCAATATCTTTACATGAGGTTAGAAAAAGATTTGATGAATAGGGCACGGAACTTTTGTAACAAAACGACACGATTTCCCCCCTCCACTCGTTCTCAGCAAAAAATTTCATACAAAAGTTGTTCTAAATTAAATTCTAAAACGATTTTTTCAATAAAAATATATATATAAAATTTTTTTTGA